GACAGGACGTCGTCGATGGTCGCGATGATGCTTTTCTCCGGCTGCTCCTCCAGCTCCCCCTTTCCCTCCGGCTCCTTCTTGGGGCCCGCGGCGCTCGGAGCCGGAGCGGGCGGCGGCCGCCTGCGCGGAGGGATCTCCATCTTGCTCTCGAAGTGCGTCTGGATGTGCTCCGTGGTGTCGCCGCCGCCCAGCTGCCAGTGCAGGAGCCCGCTGCTGAACTCCTGCACGCGGCCCAGCCGGTCGGAGCGGTCGACCACGAACAGCTTGTTCTTTTTAACGATCTTGATGGGCAGCTTGTCGAACTTGCTGGCTTGCCTGGTTCTCCTGTCTTTTGTCTTCCTCCTCTGCCGCCTCCTCCTCCTCCTCGTCCTCCTCGTCCTCCTCGCATTCCGCGGCGTCCTCCTCTCGCCCACACTCGTCGGCCCAGGCCTGGCCCTCATCTTTCTTCACTGCGCTGTGGTCAAGTGCTTTTTGGCTGGGGTCTCCCACTTCATATTCCATAAGAATTCCAAAAATGTCAATCAGGCATTTCCGAAAGTACTCGACTAAAAGTTCCAGAAATCCGGACAACTGCAGAGGAGAAAGACCAAGAACAGGCTTAGTGTCAGGGCAGCGGCCAGGCCTGCGACCCCGGTAGGCCCCGACAGCTAGCAGCCGTCTGGGAGGACTCTCCCAGGCCCAAACTACTTACCCGTCACTACTGTCTTCCTGAAGTTCTATTATTAACTAAACCGGTATCTGCCCTGTTTCTTATGTCCTGCCTACTTTCCTGCACGACCGACATGAAAACTTACCTGTTTATTTCATTTTTCTAAGATTACCCCGCCCCGCAACACAGTGCATTCATTACCATAAGAGCAGGGAAGTGAGCCTCTTTCCTATTATTTTATCTGAGACTCTGCCTGCCTGTTTTCACTGTCCTCATCATCGAACTGGATGGTTATTTTTGTCTCAGGTGCCACAGGTCATGCTGATTTACTCTTTGCAAGAGGTACTTTTAGCAACGTAGTAGCCATAACAGAAAATTAAAAGCAAATCAATGGAGTCCCCGATAAGTGGATTAGAATGTTTCCTTGAAGGCAGTTTTACCTTCCAGCTATTGGAGGCTCCAGCTGAAGACAAAGCCAGGAGGACCAGTTTTGTTCCTTTTAAGCACATGTCTGCACCAAGAAAAGCAACATCCTCCCCAATTAGCACCCGCTCAGCTCCCCTCCCGCAGAGGGCCGCTGGCATCTTGGGGATAAAGCACCAGGAAGTAAGATAGGGCTCTTCAGTGGGAAGTGCGGAAGGCAGCCACTGTCCTAGCTGCTGCCAGCTTCCAGCGGGGCGTGATTATCATGTGAGGGGAGTCGGGGAGCAACCAGAAAGCACCGCCTTCAGGGCACAGGCAGGTTTTCCCCAGCGCAGGCGTGGGTGTCCCCCACATCCCCGCCCCTCCTTCCCGGGCAAGGACAGGGAAGCAGTAGCGGACCTGCCGGAAAGGTGGTCCCACAGCAGCTCACCTCCCACAGGACACAGTGCGTCACTCCAGCAGAGGACGCACGAGTTTTAATACTTATTTTCAGTTGAAAGGAACTTCATGTAATGTTTATGACCTTATTCACACACTTCCTCTCACCTGAGAAACTGCCTTTCAGGGCTACAATGAACACTTAAATGAGAAGAGAGGGAGGTTCTGGTCCTATTTCAATAGAAGCAAGGAATTAGGTGTTTGGGCCTTTGCACCAAAAGCAGTTGTTCACACACAGCAGGGAAAATGCCCCTTCCTCATGTTTGTTTCTGAAGATTTCTTTAAAAGTCCATAGCGAGGGGACCCTTGGGCGTTTCTCCTAACCCTCAGCTCCCTCGCTCTGTGAGCTGTTATGCTGGAATCTACTCTAAACCTAGCGCTGCGCAGAGGGCTGCCAGCTCTCGTTCTGGCTTTGACGGCGTCAGCGACCTGGAGGGGCGGAGACAGGAGCACACCAAGAGGCGTGTGGCCAGGAGTTCCCGACTATTTCAGCTGGGTGGGCACATGGGGACTCATGAAACTGTCTTCTCTACTTGTGTAGTCTGTGGGCGTGGAGGGCCGGCTGTATGCGTTGATCTACACTGGTTATATAAGGACTTGGGCATCCGCGGACTTAGATATTCATGGGGGTTCGGTGTCCTGGAATCCAGCCCCCCATGGAAACTAAGGAACAATGGATGTATCTGGGGAGTCAAAGTTACATGCAGCTTTTTGATTGTGTGGGGGTACCTGTAACCCCTGTGCTATTCAAGTGTCAACAGTATACTATGTATCTTCTAAATATAAAATTTCTCTTTAATTTTCCTTTTTAAAAAACTTTTTAGTTAAGAGAAGGGTGAGGTCCCATTGGAAAGAATAACATTCCATTGCAACCCACTCAATTTCCATCACTGACTACGGACATAACTTTATGTGGCATCTGAGTTAATTCACCTTGGGCTGCTAATATTCATTCTAAACAGCAAATTAGTTTTACTATCATCCATTCCATACGCACACGCACACGCACACAGGCATGCACCCACGTACACGGTCATGGTGTTCTTATGAGACTTAGGTATGTGTAAATTTACATAAAGACTGAAGTGAATTGTCATTCTGCACTGAATTCTCGGCAACCACACATTGATGGATGTTGGCGATAGAGGGCCAGACGCTGAGCGCCAGCGTTAGTGAAGCATCAAGCACCCCTTGGTTCTCGTGCTCCGCTTCGGTCCTCGGCTCCGTGGTGCTGGCTCACCTGGGAGAGATTGAACGTAGCGACAGTGCTGTCATCATACAGGAGGATGTTTATAGTGTCCAAGGCCCAAGTGCTTTCAGCCAAGAGACCGGACTTCAGGGACATCATCACACGCCAGGCCTCCGGGGTAACTAAAAGTGGGGAAGGAACAGGGTGTGATGAATATTAACGCCGTGCATGGAAGAACAGAAAATAACCAAGAATCAGAGAAGAAATGGTGGTAAGGACTGGCTTTAAATGACTGTCCTGAGGGTTTGTTCGACACGATCACTTCCAGATTTGAAGCGAGGTGATGGCTGTACTAAGACGCTGTGGTCTTGAAGGCCTTTTGCTTTGCTGGTGGAACAGGAGCCCACGTGCTTCTCCAGGAGGCTGTGGTTTAGCACAGCCCCGCTTTTCCCCTTTACCCCCTAACAGATGCATCCGCTTCAAAAACCGAGTCAAACCAAACAACTACTTGTCCTTGTTGCCTGCTCCGTTCACAAATGTCTCAGCATGGGGTCTTTGGAAGGCTGGCGAGTATGCAGAGTATAAGCCAAACTTCAATCCCAACCGCAGAGTCCTGGCTTTCCCATGCCGACCTCTGTTTCTCAGCTCTGGCCCTCAGGGCACACTGTGGACAACCCCAGCACTCTGAGGGTCCGGATTTTTCAGGAGCTGAGCCTGAGCCGGGGGATGGGACAGAGAGCTGCACTTTAGTCCTGTCCATTCCTGTCACTGAGGAAGACAGAGCCACGTGATAAAACGCGTGCAGGCTTTGCCATAGCTGGGCTAGGAACAGAGGCCATCATCTGCCAGTTTCGGAGGGGCCATCTCGGGAACCTGGGGGGGCACATGGTGTGAGTGGACCTGCCCAGCCAGAACTCACCACAGCCACAGCCTCACGTCGGGAGGGGACTGTGGGTTTCCACCTTTATTTTAATTTCATCTACTTTTCAATTTTTCTGATAGGCACATATTACTTTTATCATAGAAAAAGCAAGCTTCCTTTTTAAAATGAGGAACATAAATTTCTCTAGACTATAGACAAATACTGGTATAACATACTAAGAAACTTTATATAAATTTAAATATTTAAGCGTGTACACACATATAAACACAAATACGTGTGCATATTTTTACATCTACTTCCATATGACAATGGTGCTCTAAGTCTGTATCGCTATCTCTTGCTACCCTCCTGCACCCCTTTCTCTACAGGTCCTTACAGTCCAATGAGTGGAAACATCTTTAACTTTTTTCTAATCATTGAATATGATTTCATGTCAAGTGATTTTGAGATTTTTGAAAAGAATCGTTTAGTATAATCAAGATCTTTAATTCCCTTTACTGTACCGAAAGTGCTTAAAAACTACTGCAGAGAAACTGTGTGTACTCCCAGAATGGGATGTCTCCGTCGTGTTCAGAAGGCCCCCAGCAGGACCGACGAGCCCATCAGTAGTAACTGAGGCAGCCCCTTGGCCGGGTCGACCAGTGCCCTCCACTTAAACTGACCGCAGGCCGCAATCCCTATCTGTCCACATATCACGTTCAGGCTTCCCCTCTCCCAGGGAAACCCACTGCCCACCTCTGCCTTCGAGCCCCACAGCTGTTCTAAGCACGTGGTGCAGAGAAAGTGCTTGCTTTAAAATCAGATCTTGCGGCCAGAAGCTAGTCCACAGCCACTGGGGACCAGGCTTTCCCCTGGTGCTGCTGCTCACTTCAGATTAGTGAGTGATTACCACCACTGCTCCTCAGAAACATGGCCGTCTGTACTCATGGGCGGTTCACTCTTTGAGATCAACAGCAAGAACATCTGAACTAAAATGTAAATTCTGGCCACATGGGGCTTCCTTGGGGAGCAGAGCGGGGTGCTTACCGATGTCCTTCGAGGTAATCTTCCGCCTCTGTTTCAAGACCGGCTGGGACGCCTCCACGGAGCCAGGAGGGAAGGTGATCTCCCTTCTGATCGGGGGCGGCTGGGGGGGCGGCCCCGTGACCTGGGGCGCGGGGACGGTGGGCATGACCTTCTGCATCTTCATGGAGGGCAGGAAGGGGGACTTGCTGGGGGACATGCGGCTCTCCAGGGCGCGCGGGAAGGCGGCGGGGCTGGGCGCTCGGGAGATGTGGTTTGGCAGTGACGGCGGCGTCTGGTAGGACGGCTGGGGCGGGCGCGTGATGGGCTGCATGGAGGCCGACGAGGACATGTAAGGCTGACGCTGGCTGACGTGAGAAGGCCACTGGCTCTCGTGATTTATCCTCTGATCAGGGACCATCATGTCATCCGTGCGGCTCATGCCTGGGTAGGGGGGGGCCTGGGCGGGGCCGCCGGGGCCCTGCCTGCCCTGGTAGGGGTAAGGCATATCATTCCGAGCCGCCCACAGGCTCTGCTGCGGCCCTTCCCCAGAGGCCGGCTGCAGGGGGCCGCCCATCATTTGCGGGGGGAGGCCGTGTGGGGGCATCTGCCCCGGGCCCTGCACCCTCTCTCTGCCGTAGGGGTAGGCGTACTGGCCCTGCAGGGGCCGGCGCTCGGGCCCGGAGTAGGAGCTGCCGTACTGGTTGTACATCTCGGGCTGCTGGCTGCCGAACTGCACGTTGTACATGTCCCCCTCGTGGCGCTTGGCGGGAGGACCGTACATGCCGTCCATGTGGCGCTTGTAGTTCTGAAATTCACACAAAGGCAGATCGCACTCACGTGCTTTTCCAGGGATAACCACACACTCCCCTTATGCAAAAGTTATCACGTGGCCGATGTTCACTCCGAAGTGGACATGGGAAGCTGGCCTAACTAAGGACTAACGATTTATGTCTCATTTCAGTGTTGCACCCCCACCCCCATGCCAGCACCCACGGACCTCCTGTTTATTTCATTGCTTGGTGTTGTCTGTGGGATCAGGGTCCTGGAGTGACGCTGAGGGGACCCAGCAGGTAAAAGGATATTCTGAGGGCCACCCTGAGAGCGTTCTGGGTTCAACAATTCCTTAGGCCTAACTCTACAGAAAAGCCTCCCCAAAGGATCTGGCTCCTCAGACTGGACCTGTGCTACCCTGACACCCACATTCCATGGCCCGCATCCCAACTTCCAGCTTGTCCAGGTCAGACTACCCAGCCTGAGGACAGGCTGGGCGCAGCCGGTTCCTCAGCTCCTGGTCGGGGGGTGTCTCCTGATGGAGTGAGTGAGATGCTGACATGGGAACTGAACTTTCACCCCATTTGAAAACCGTTAGGATCAGTTGGTTTAATAACACAGCCCACTGTAGATGCACGCGCCAGTAAAATTAAATACATGTTTGATCCCCTCTATTTGACACACGGTCTTAGGCCTTGGAGTGTGTGGAAGTCGCCTTCCTGTGTGAAAGCCTAGCCCGACGGCCGTCCTCTGCACCCGCAGTGTCGGCGAGCTGGTCCCGCACAGCCAGTCTCTGGGCTGCAGGGCTGCTTGGACCAGCACAACCTCTTCAACCATCAAATGCAGTCAGTTAATAGCTGCTCTTTAAAAGCCAACCACTTTCACTTAGTAGGTAATTTTTAGTGGTTTTTTCCTACGTCCTCTTTAAAATATATCCACATATTTCTAGTCTAAAATGGCGTTGGATTGGACAGTACACACCAACATTTAAAACATACTTAAGCTGGGCTTGTTACTGTTTACACGGGCGCATGTCCTTAACTTCTTATAACACATACTTGTTTGGGATACCCTACATCAAGAGCTGTTTTTAATTTGCTGGCTTCCAATCTGAGACTATGTTCTCGCACTAACAAGTAACATTGTGATTGCTCAACAAATGCCAATCATTTTGTTATACTTGCTGGAACTCTCCGCCGTGCCAGGAGTTTGGTCTGAACCAGAGGCACCAGGGCACGCCCACTCACCACTCACCGGCTGCTGTGGGTACAGGCCCGGCTGGTGTCCTCCGTACGGCGGCTGTCCTGAGGGTGGGCCCTGGCCCGGGTACTGCTGCCCGTAGGGTTCATGCCTGGAATGATGCATTCAAAGAAAACTTCCTTTACAAAGGACCGCAGGCCACGGGAGAAAGGAACAGTCTGTTTCCTGAAACTCTACACTCAGCAGCTTTTCTTCCCCTCACTTGCACACCTTCCAGCAGAGGCAGTCCGAGCAGCTGCAGACGAACTCTTAGCAAAAGGAAGGGAACACCCATTCTGGGACTGCTGCCAATCCCCTGAGTGGTAGGTGTGAGGAGTCCCGGCTGGCCGGCATCACCCTCCGCCTTTGAGTCAAGCCCCGCCCACCCACTGACGCTCTGGGAGTGCCATACAGGGTTGTGCTGTGGGTATTCACGAAAGGAAGAAATAGCACAGAGTCGAAGAGTCCCAGCAGAGGACCTGGACATGGACATACAATAGTGGAAACTAGTTCTACTTCTCCCTCTCTCATTATGAATAAGAAATGTTCATTTTTAAAGGTATACATCAAAATTAATGCAAATGATATTGAGTTAGCTAATAACTGTATGGATGTTAGTGCTCAAAATTTCAAAGTCCTACAATCATAAAAGGCTATAGAAAAGAATAACAGGAATTATTTAAATGTATTACTATTAAATCTTAAAATGGGAATGAGCAATACATTTATTTTTTCAGCTAATATACTGAGAAATTAGAATACCATAAAATAGCATGTTTATAAAAACCCCAATAAATTTGAAATTTAAAAAAATTAACTGGTTTAGTTAGTATATTGATCTTGTAAGAAATAGAATAATTAAACTGAATATATTCCTGAATTGGTCAGTGAATAAGAAAGAAAATGAATGAACTTTTAGACTACCACATGTAAAACAGACACAGGAATTTTTGCTAACAACATTGATATCTAGACGGAAGCTTATAGTTAGGAGAAAAAAATATAATTGACATAGATAAAATTTACACTGAGCAAGTAACTTTATAGAAAACTCAGCAATGAAGCAAGCCCCTCTCTCTAATGTGGTAGAACCAAAATGACTTCTACACCTAGGCTACACAGCCTTCTTCCTATATTTGCTTTGGTTTCTTTAAGGATATATGTCCCATGTCCTGACCAGTGTTACTCAATAGTTAGAGCCTTGGCCTGTGCACCAAGGGGTCCTGGGTTCGATTCCTGGCCAAAGGCACATACCTGGGTTGCAGGTTCGATCCCTGGTCCTAGTTGGGGCATATGTGGGAAGCAAATGATCAATATAATCAATGTTTCTCTCTCCTCTCTTTCTTCCTCTTTCCTTCCCTCCCTTCCACTTTCTCTAAAAATCAATGGAAAAAATATCCTCTGGTGAGGATTAACAACAACAAAAGGAATATATGTCCCAGGACAACTGTTTCCCTTCTGATCATCAGCCAACACACACACACACACACAACACACACACACACCCGAGCTGTGCCTGGACCCGCAGGAACACGGACACTGTGACCATCGCCGCCAGGGCTCAGGAGTGTGTGCTGGGAGCACCGTTTCCGGTGAACGGCTTCATCTTTGCCTGAGAGACACTCACCTCCGGTCGTAGGTGGCTCCGTAGGGGAACTGCTGCCGCTGCCCCATGCCCAGGCCGGACATGGCCCCGGAGGGACTCTGGTTGTACATGTCCTGCATGCTGCTCGTGGGCATCGGGCCCTGCGACATGAAGGGCTCGCTGCCTCCAGGCACTGGGACGTGGTGAAGAACAGACGACAGTCAGCGTTCCCAAAGCCCAAGGCCCTGTCTAGCCATTTGTTATTGTTAACACGGGAGATACATCTTATCCTTATATGACCAACAACATGAATGAAAGAGCGTAAGGTCTACAGTCAAGGTGGGCCCTGTGGGCAGAACCCTAAGATGGACCGCAGATCCCCACCCATGTACACGCACCGCACGGCCCTCCGAGTGTGGGCAGGACCCCTGAATACAGGGGATAACTGGAGGAGAGACTGTCAGGTGGGCCCTTTAAATCGCCTCTAAAGGCCGCAGACAGATGAGTCAGAGGTGCCCCCCTGCTGGTCCTGAAGAAGCACCCACCTTGCAGGGGAGAGGGTCATGGATAAGAAGGGGCGGCAGCCTCTGGGAGCTGCCCAGACCCTCAGACGACGGCCAACAGGACCCCTCATTCCCCAGCTGCAAGGGACTGAGTGCTGCCAGACACCTGCACGAGCCAGAGGAGCTGAGCCGCAGAGGAGACCTCGCCTGCCTAACACCGGATGCCTGCGTGAGCGAGCGGGGCTGAGCACGCAGGAACCGACATCAGTTTATGCTGCTTTAAGCTGCCAAGTGTGTGGTAACATTGAAAACGGGCAAGTTGGCACACTTCTGAGTTGACTTCCTTGTCTATAAAATGGGTCTGGAGAGAGAGATGAGATACTTGCAGAGCTAGTGCCCGTCCCTGATGGGGAAAGTGAAAACCTCGACACAGACACCCACCCACCGACCCACTCCAAAAGCAGGATAAAGGAAGTCACTAGGGAGTTAATAGCTCCAGAATGGATGGGATGCACTATTTCCTTCGGGGGTAGAGCGACAATTAGGTCAAATGTACAAATGAGCATCACTCAGCGCCTGAAGGAAATTGGGTCAAGTCCAGAAACCAGCCTGTCGGCAAATTACACATTTTAATGCAAATCGTAATTGATATGCAGTACTACCACCTTCTTCATGCTATGAGGTTACTTCTGTCTTATATGAGGAAAAAGCTGATTAAAGTGTTGTGGGCTGAGAGAGTTGTTAGTCTGGCACAGCGGTGCAGACAGGAAGCCGAAAACTGGTGGCCGGCATTCTTTGCAATGGCTTTCACATTCTTTATCTTATTTGATCTACATCAACCCTCAGTTGAACCAGTTTTGATGTTATTTTCCATTTTATATGAGAAAGACAGGAATTAAGGGGGATGACTAAAGTTAAGTAACTTAATTTCCCTATATATAAAGAGTTCTTAAAAACCAATAAGAAAAAAAATCAAATGAAAAAATGGGAAAACACATAAATGGATATTCACAGAACAAGAAAAATAAATGGCTGATAAATATATATAAAAAGATGTGTGGCCTCGCCAATAATTAAAGAAATCCAAGTTAAAACAGTAACGAGGCCTTTCCCCCCTCCCAGTCTGACCGGCAAATACTAAAACGACTGGTAATCATCATCTTTGGCATGAGAGTGAGCACCACGCACTCCCCCATCTCCACGTTGAGCATTAAACGGGCACAGCTGTAGCCAGCACTTGCCCACTAGTCTGGACTTCGGGCCTCCCCACAGAGGCAACAAGGACAAAGAGCTGGGTTTATGTCGGCAGTGAAATAAAAAAATCAGAGTGCCACCGAGTCCGCTGACAGAATATGGAGGAATGCGGAACGTTACTGTGGCAGGGGTAGGGCTGCGAGAAAGCCTGTCTCCCGGGGCTTTTCTGTTTATCTGCTTCCATTTGGTACTAAATCCACCAGCGGAGCATGTGAGCTGAAGTACACTTCATCCCGAGCAGCGGTATTGCTTCCACAATCGATGGAAACAAGTCCTATGGCTGCCTGGGGCCTGGCGAGGCAGCCTGCTGCCACCCCACCCTCCACAGTAAAGGAAATGTGGGCACAAGGAAACAAAAGAAGTCCGATCGCGCGGTCTAACAGCGTGTCGGCAGGAAGTGCATAGTAACTTTTGAAGCCAGATTCCAAATACTACTAATTATTTTTCCATGTTATTATGGCCACATTTTCAGTCTAAAATGTGGAACCACCACCAACAGCACTAACAAAATGTTCTTCCTAACATCGCACACCACTAAGAAAAATAGCTACCTCCAACGTTCACAAAGCCTTTGAATATCCGAGTTTATGGATTTATTGCAAGTTCTGCAAAATCTTTACTTGGATTATGCAGCTCTGAAGCTTGAAAGGAAAAAGTATAGATTGTCTTGCTTTATGGAACAGATAAATCTGAAAGTTACACCGTATAAAATACAGTTTGTGGTTTAACGTGCTTCTCCATGAGGAGCTGGTGCTGGTCTGCACCATCCCCCTAGCACCCAGCCCCGTGCCCAGCCCAGGCCCCGCGCCCACGCCTGGTGGCATTCAGAGCACGCTTGCTTCCTGTGCCAGTCCTTCTTCTGTGGCCTGTATGTGCATTACTCCCAGCATGCTCATGGCACCCTGTATGCAGGTCCTAGTAATACCAATTTCTAGGGGAGGAAACGAAGCACAGAGATGCCACGTACTTTCTCCAAGGCCAGAAAGGCAGGACACAGGAGCTGGGGCC